GTGTCCAGGTCCGTCCACTGTCTCACTCGGTGTCCAGGTCCGTCCACTGTCACACTCGGTGTCCAGGTCCGTCCACTGTCACATTCAAGTGTCCAGGTCTGTCCACTGTCACACTCAAGTGTCCAGGTGCATCCACTGTCACACTCAAGTTTCCAGGTCTGTCCACTGTCTCACTCGGTGTCCAGGTCTGTCCACTGTCACACTCGGTGTCCAGGTCCGTCCACTGTCACACTCAAGTGTCCAGGTCTGTCCACTGTCACACTCAAGTGTCCAGGTCCATCCACTGTCTCACTCGGTGTCCAGGTCTGTCCACTGTCTCACTCAAGTGTCCAGGTCTGTCCACTGTCTTACTCAAGTGTCCAGGTCTGTCCACTGTCTCACTCGGTGTCCAGGTCTGTCCACTGTCACACTCGGTGTCCAGGTCTGTCCACTGTCACATTCAAGTGTCCAGGTCTGTCCACTGTCACACTCGGTGTCCAGGTCTGTCCACTGTCACACTCAAGTGTCCAGGTCTGTCCACTGTCACACTCAAGTGTCCAGGTCTGTCCAGTCCTGAGATGCGGTAAGCCTACTGCCATCTCACTCAGGACAGGACCCCCGAGCCCGCAGCCCCCGTCACACCTCCCTCAGACTTCCTAACCCTTTTTTTTTTTTTTCAGGTCATGGGGCCTGAACTCTGGGCCTGGGCGCTGTCCCTCAGCTCTTCAGCTCAAGGCTAGCGCTCTACCACTTGAGCCAAAGAGCCACTTCCGGCTTTTTCTGCTTATGTGGTCCTGAGGAATCGAACCCAGGGCCTCATGCATGCAAGGCAAGAGCTCTACCACTGAGCCACCTTCCCAGCCCCCTGTTTTTGTTTTTTGTTTTGCTAGTCCTGAGGCATGAATTCAGGGCCTGGGCTCTGTCCCTGAGCCTTTATGTATGTGCTCAAGGCTAGTGCTCTACCACTTGAGCCACAGCGCCACTTCCGTTTTTTTTTCTTTTTTCTTATGTGGTGCTGAGGAATCGAACCCAGGGCCTCGAGCATGCAAGGCACGCGCTCTACCACTGAGCCACCTTCCCAGCCCCAACTTCCTAATCTTTAAGAAGCACCAGGAAGCCGGCACGAGTGGCTAGCGCTGTTATCCTAGTCAGTAGGCTTCAAAGACAGCCTCAGCAGAAAAGCCCGAGACTTACATCTCTAATTAACCACCAAAAGGCCAGGCTCAGGAGTAGCCCCCTAGCTTTGAGGCAGAGTCTCAGGCTGTTACAATCCCTTCTTCTCTCCCTCCTGGGTTACTGATGGATACCAGGAAAACACTGAGGTGTTCTGGACACTTCCAGGCAGCTAGCTCATGGCCTCTACACCTTGGCTAACACAGCCCAGCTGCCTCTCCATGGGACACATGCCTCAGTGCTGACTGCCTCTCAAGGTCATGGGGCACAGGGCCGTGTCCTAAGGTAAGGTCATGGGGCACAGGGCTGCCGCCCAAGGTCATGGGGCACAGCTCTGAACTAGCTTCCTCAGGGCTCAGAAGACCCTTCCCGGGGTTACCCCTCTGTCCTCCAGTGCTGGCTTCATAATAACATAGCTGTATCTTGCCACCAGCATGGAGAAGAGGTTGTGGTGGTGACGGTTTATTTCCACCTTTATAGTTCTATCCTATTTGATCGATCTATCTATCCATCCATCCATCCAGCTTTTTTGCCAGGCCCAGGGCTTGAACTGGCCACTGTCCCTGAGCTTCTTTTGCTCAAGGTTACATTATTCTGCCGCTTGAGCCACAGCGCCATTTCTGCCTTTTGTTAAGGTAGTACCGAGGGTTTCAGACATACTAGGCAAGTACGCTGTCAGTAAGCCACACTCCCAGCCCTGTGTGCTAACAGTTATAGTGATAGGAGTGCTGGCTTCAGCATGTATGAGCCCTAGTTCAACCCTAGCACTGAAACACACAATGTAGTACTTCTTTGTAAGCCGCCCACCCCTAACCCCAATCGCCATTCTTCACACGAACATTTTACTGTGAAGTCTCACTCGCTCCACTTGCTTTTTCGCTTTCTCTTTCTGCCCTTTTCTGCTTCCTTTAGGATCTAATAAAGCATCCTAAGTGTTGCGTATCTTCTGGCAGCCCTTGAGCCACGTTCACTGTGGGGCTTGCAGTCTGTATCTCTTCACTATCAGACCCTTGAGGAGCGACACGGGGGCCGGGCCGCCCACCAACAGTGTATGCCAGTTGCTCCCGAGCGCCGTGGCTCGCACTAGGTGCTCAATGGCACCACCACCACCAACACAAACTACTGGGCCATTCATTTATTTTTCTTCTTTCCTCCCCCCCCCTTCTTCTAGAGCTAACCCTCGGGCTTTGTGCTTCTGCTGTTTGTGCTAACCCTCGGGCTTTGTGCTTCTGCTGGACTTTGAGCTTTCTTGCTCACACGGATGTTCTCTCACTTGAGCCAGGCCTCCAGGCTGACATTTTGCTGGCTAATTGGAGATGGAATCCTATGGACTTTTCTGCTCAGGCTGGCTGTGAACTGTGATCCTCCAGCTCTCCAGCCCCTTCAGGAGCTAGGACTACAGGTGTGATTCACTCGTGTTAGCCAGGACGCTTTTGTTACGCATCACTATGCGTTATGAATGACTTGTGAACATACTTGTGAAACATGCTTTTATAATGGACTCAAAGTGCTTTTTGTGAACAGTGTGGGTTTTCTGTTCCCACACCGCATTGAACTTTACGCTCAGATGATCAAAGAGCACTGGGATGCGTAAAAAAAAAAAAAAAAAAAAAATCAGACCAGCTTACAAGGACTCCCCTGGTCAGATACGAGACAATGTGACCATGAAGGGAGTGGTGAGAGACTGTAGCCCAACGAACTAGCCCCAGGCTTCGAACCTAAGGTGCCATGAAAATGGAGGGCGGCTAACAAGCTCAGAGCAAGAGGGCCAGAAAGCCACTATCCCGCCAGGGACAGCTGGTGTGCCAGCGGGCAGAGCCGCCAGAACACAGTTCACACAGGCTCACAGGGCCCCTCACAGACCCCTGCCTGCTCAGAGGAAGACGCAGAACATCCTCACCAGGCCACTGCCTCGGCACCAGACACTGGTGCCGACAGACACTGCTGTCTCCTGATGCTACACAAACTGGTTTACAAAGTGTTCCTGCCAAAATAACGCACACCTTCCTGAAAACAGGGAGCAGCCCAACGGGCCCTGCAGCAGCCGGCCGGCCAGCCTGGGCTCGGAGCACACAGGCAGGAGGGAAAAGGAGCAGAATGCCCAAGGGAGCAAGTGTGGCAAAATGTAGGGAGTCACAGACAGAATGTGTGTTCACGTGTGAGTGCTGCATTAGGGCGTCACGGGTGGAATGTGTGTGTTCACGTGTGGAATGTGTGTGTTCACGTGTGAGCGCTGCATTAGGGGTCACGGGTGGAATGTGTGTTCACGTGTGAGCGCTGCATTAGGGGTCACGGGTGGGATGTGTGTGTTCACGTGTGAGCACTGCATTAGGGGTCACAGGTGGGATGTGTGTGTTCACGTGTGAGCACTGCATTAGGGGTCACAGGTGGGATGTGTGTGCTCACGTGTGAGCGCTGCATTAGGGGTCACGGGTGGAATGTGTGTGTTCATGTGTGAGCGCTGCATTAGGGGTCACGGGTGGAATGTGTGTGTTCACGTGAGCGCTGCATTAGGGGGTCACGGGTGGGATGTGTGTGTTCACGTGTGAGCGCTGCATTAGGGGTCACGGGTGGGATGTGTGTGTTCACGTGTGAGCGCTGCATTAGGGGGTCACGGGTGGGATGTGTGTGTTCATGTGTGAGCACTGCATTAGGGGGTCACGGGTGGGATGTGTGTGTTCACGTGTGAGCGCTGCATTAGGGGTCACGGGTGGGATGTGTGTGTTCATGTGTGTGAGCGCTGCATTAGGGGGTCACGGGTGGGATGTGTGTGTTCACGTGTGAGCGCTGCATTAGGGAGGCACAGACGGAGCGTGTGTTGTGTGTGTGACACTCTATGAAACCCTTCCTAGCAGGCCTCACCTCGTCATCCCAGCACTCAAGAGGCTGAGACAGCAGGCTTTTGGGTTCAAAGCCAGTCTGGGCTACATAAGAAGTCCCTGTCTAATCCCCCAAAACCACTTCACCTTAAGTTAAATCATTTTAAAAACAAGTCAGCAAAAGAAGTAGGCAGTAGTGTCTGTAGAAGTAATCTTGGGTGGATGATGCCACAGGATTAGTGTGATAGTGAATTTGTTTCATGCAATGGAGAGACCCGCAGATGAACCAACCGCACAGCTGGTCTTAGAACTCAGTAGAAAACTGGCCTGTTTGGGCTGGGACTGTGGCTTAGGGGCAGAAATACTTGCCTAGCATGCATGCAGCGCTGCGTTCGATTTCTCAGTACCACATAAACAAAAAGCCAGAAGTGACACTGTGATTAGAGTGCTAGCCTTGAGCCAAAAAGAAAATAAAGAAAAAAAAATGAAAAAAGAAAACTGACCTGTAGTGGCGTCTCTGCCCTCCTTGCTGGTGGGCAGAGAGCTGGCCACCCTCCCTTCTTTCCCCAGAGCTCCTGTGGGCAAGCCACACAGGGCAGCCACAGCTGGGCCCACTATCGCTAACACCTCCTCCCAGCACTGCCTCTAAAGAAAGGCTAATTTGGGAGCAAAGAGAGAACTGTTGTGTGAAGAGAGATCTTTTGCTACAAGGGATTAATTTTAGACTATGCCCTTTATGCATTTCAAAGGTGGTGCTGACTTTCAAATGTTAAGCTACTTGCTTAAGGAATAAAATGCACACACTGGTAGCTGGGCATCCTGAGTGCGGGACTGCCAAGGCACAGACCCAGCGTCTGAACAAGAACCGTTCGCTAGCAGCAGCCAGCTTTTCTGTTCCATTTCCAGGAGGAGTTCTGTCTTCGGTGGCTTCCATGATTACCTGGGTCTCCCCAGGGCCCTTCAAGGGCACTGTGGGCAAGGACTGACAGCCATCTGCTGACCCCCTGGCCTGGCCTTCCTCTGTCTACATGGCCCACTGCTCAGCCCTACTTCCTGTATCCTCCGGCTCCCGTCCCTCTGGAGACACTGGGAGTCTGTCAGTGACACTGGCCATGACAACAGCCAAGAGGCTGCTCTCAGGTGGCCGCGAGTGTGCTGCCCACCCTCTCAGGGCTGCGCAAGCCTGGACCTTGGTGTTTCTCAGAGGTGCACACGCCAGGTCCCAGGGCGGATGTTTTCTGCTGAGCTCACTGGGATGGCCCCTGCTTCATGCCCTTGTAGTGACTGGTATTCCCCTCTGCTAAGCCGCCACAGGCCACACACACAGGTTGGCTACCACCCCACGGGGGGGGGGGTGAGGGGGCTCACAGAAGGGAACCCAGGGCACTGAGTGTGCGTGGTGCAGCATTGGGATGGCACCGGCGGGCCGAGGCCTGGCCTGGCAGGGTGCGTCGCCTGATGGGGAGACCGAGGAGGACACCAAGGCGGAATCACAAGCTCCTGCCCTCCTTCCTGTGCCTTGCCAAGAGGCAAGAGCGGGACATGAGCGCTGGCCCAGGAAGCAGTAAGGTTGGGGTGCAATGCCCTGGTGAGCCTCTAACTCCAACAGGCAGCAGGCCACCCGGCTGGGCCAGCCTGAGCTCCAGGAGCGCACCTCATTCGTCACCTACAGTGATAATGAGCATACACATGCACGCACACGTGTGCACACATGCACACAGACACACACACAGTCTTCAGACCCTTTCTGCCCAGGGAACCCTCAAGTGTGCACCTGCGGGTACACAACCGCCTACCTGGAGCGAGTTCGTTTCCTGCTGGCCCCCGGGCTGCTGCTCACTCGGTACGCAGTGGGGACGCTTCTCTCTTCCCGCCGTCTCTCAGGGGAGTGTGCTCTCCTCCGAGGGGACCGGGAGCGTGACCTGGACAGAAGTGATATGACAGCCGGCTCTAGAGTGTGGTCTGTGCACATGCTCCCCCGCTGCAGCAAGCAAGGCAGGGTCTGCACTCAGGCACAGACAGGGTCCATGGGCCCTTCAGATGCGCCATGGCTCTGCTCCCACTGTCCCTCAGAGCCATCGCCCAGACTGCCGGTCTGGGGAGGCTGCACTGGTATGGCCACTGCCCACAAGGTCACACTCTCTCTGCCCTTCCTAGCCTCTGTCCGTCCATCTGCCTGAAACTTTCAGCTGGCCGATGCTGTCAGACGCAGGCAAGGGAAGGCCCCTGAGGGTCTGCAGGTCTGTGGGCCGCAGCTGGCCTCCTACTCAGGCGGCCTCAAGCCGGGTGGTGCTGCAGGCTCACTGGCACAAAGCCCCAAACTCAACCTAGCATGCCATTCTCAAACAGCTTGGGCTGAGAGCAATTCAGATAATACGAGGTTACACGGATGGAAAAGCATCCACTAAAACTTACTCTTCTGTTCACTGGGCCTAAAAAGCCTCATTCTGTTACTGATGGGACACAATCCATGCAGAACGAGAAGGACCCCAGGGCCCCCCCCAATGGGTGGCCGAGGTCCCTGATACAGGACCCTGGACAGTGGCCGGGACTTCTCCTTTAGTTCTTTGTTCATTCAGTGAAATCACTGTTTCAGAAAAGCCTGTAATAAGCAGAAATCTGGGGGAGAAACCCTCATAGCTCTGCTGTTTCCATGACAACCCACTGAGAAACAATGTGAAGAACAGCTTGATTGTGCCATTTGAAAAAGTTTTCCACTGAATCATTTTAATTACAATAAAACCTCCAAATGCACAAGCACTGTTGTTTCAAGAATCAACCTGTAGTTACCCCTGACTGCCTTGTGTGGAGGGACACCACTCCTGAGATACACCTGGCCCAGGAGCCCACTTGAGAGCAAGGTGCCTGACGCAGGCTCTTCCCCCACCCGGTGGGGTGTGGACTCCGTGTACAGCCCTACCTGCTCCCCAGACCTTCCTGAAGACCCTACGACGGAGCACGGAGGCCAGGGCAGGCAGACACCTTGACATCTGACAGCTCTCCTGCTGTGCTGCCCCGGCCACAGCAGAGCTGCGGCACCAGGCTCTGTGCACTGGTCCCTGGGGGGACCTCACATGCAGATCAAGTGTGCCAGGCTGGGAGCTACCAAAACTGTGAGGAAAAACTTCTCTTGGTTGTCTCTGGGCCTGGGCGCTGTCCCTCAGCTTTTCAGCCCAAGGCTAGTGCTCTACCACTTGAGCCAGTGCCACTTCCGGTTTTCTGGAGATAAGAGTCTCAGACTTTCCTGGCTTTGAACCTCGATCCTCAGATCTCAGTCTCCTTAGTAGCTAGGATGACAGGCGTGAGCCACTGGTGCCTGGCACCTATCAATTCTTTTTTTTTTTTTTTTGTTTGGTCATGGGGCTTGAACTCTGGGCTTGGGCGCTGTCCCTCAGCTCTTCAGCTCAAGGTGAGCGCTCTACTGCTTGAGCCACAGCGCCACTTCTGGAGTAGTTTA